TTTTCTTGGTCTCAGTCAGGGTTGAGCTTCTGTGCATTTACTCCATTATAAAATCTACCTTTTAACATTAGAATCAGAGAGGAATGGGCCATTTAAGCCATCAAATCCAACACTGTTTAGTGTAGGAGTATAAATCGAAGCATCCCCAACATATTTAGCACAGAGCAGCTTATCACCTACTCAGGCAATTGGTTCTCCTATCCTTACTGAGGTCTGTCATGCTACCAGTCTTTCTCTGTGCTAAATTTCTGACCAGAGTTTAAAACCAGTACACAATTTCTCTACTTTTTCATTATCAACTGCAGATCTCAAATGCTTTCAGAATGATGTTGTCAATATGCTTGCATGTCGGCATCTTGCAAAAAACACCTTCAGCCAATTGATTCTCAGTTTCTGTTTCAAACTGAGTTTTCACTGCTCCTTAAATTAACAAACAGCTTTTCTCCTTTCTTCACAAAAAGTGATGCACAGAAGTTCCAAGTGTCCCCATCCCTACACACACTCAGTGTCCATGCATGGCCCACATGTATTTGTATACATTTGGTTATCTGCAAAGCATTCTCCTCATTGGGCTAGTAGAAGGATGGTTGCAAGTGAAAATTATTTTTTGAAATTATTAATAAATGCACTAAAAAGCCTTAAACGTTTTCTGTTTACCTTAGTGCCTAATCAGCATCACACGTGGCATTCTAACAAGCCCTGAGGTATGTTAATCCAGCAAATCCTGTCCAAGTAGTATGCCAGCAAAATTGCTTTGGAGGGCTTTCATTTTGGCTAGGTGAATGAAGCATTAACTGGGAGCTGGATTTCAGGAGACATGACAGGTGGGTTTTCCAGTAGGAGAACGAAGGCCCACCAATGCAGGATGAACTTGTAATGTGAGTTTCATCCAATTCTTAAGTGAGGGTGAGAACATGCACATCCGTTTCCTCAGGGTGAGGTAAGTCATAGGTTTTGGGAATGTGCATTGTGTCTGCACTAGTTTACAGACCATCATGTAACATCATGGCATGGCAGCCCAAGAAGTGTAGAGAAACCACCATCTGAGATACTCACTTTCCTAACATTTAGTCACTATCTCATTTCTTATAATTTAAGACACTATTCTGAATCTTGCACTGTGAGATGATAGAAAACAGGGCATATCCTCCTACCTTCAATATTTTGTTCTTGATCTTTTGCAATATTTAATACATCATGTAGTTTGCTCCTCACCCTCAGTCCATTCACGTTAACAGTTCTAGAAGGCAGAAGGATGCATATAGAGGTTACTAGGTAACCAGTTCATTTCTTACAGTGGCTTCCAAGCAGCTCTCAATGCACTGTAAGCAGGCATAACTCTTCTGTCTCATCTTCCAGTCTGCTTTTGCTCTGTCCATTCTACTCCTAAGAATTCTCTTTTGTGTGTATGTGTATGTGTGTGTCTTTTAAAGGTTGTATAATTCTCTTTGTTTCTTTCATTGTCTTCTTATTGCATCTAGTTCAGAGATCCCAACTTTTGAGGTTGGTGAGCATGTTGGGAATTTTAAGAACTTATTGTTGGTACCAGAGGAGGCAAGTCTCTTTGCCATGAGTACATAACCAGTTACCAAATATTGCTTTACTAGAATACTATTTTGCCTGAGTAGGTGCCATACTTCTGAACAAAGAAGTGGCTTGTAGTTAGTAATCAGTTTTATTTTCTGAGAAATACTGTAGGGCTACCTTATAGGGGATGAAGAACTACTAGGTTGGTTTGTACTTGTGATGAAGATAGAAAGTCACTTCTTTAAATATTTTCTTTTTTTCTTCTTTTTTCCTTTCTTTTTTCTTTTGTTTTGCACATTATATTCTTCCTTTATTTTTCTTTTCCTTTCTGAGTTTTATTTATTATTATTATTATTATTATTATTATTATTATTATTACTATTACTATTAAATTCAAGAGAAAGACTGTAGGGCTCATTTAGAACCCAGAGACATTCTTGGAAATATAGATGTTGTTGAAGACTGGTATTTTTCATTGCAGTACACCAGTCTCTTAATGATGATAGTGGTGGTGGCGGTGGTGGTGGTGGTGGTGATGATGATGATGATGATGATGATAACAATAGAGTTATTATTTTAAAATATAAGAGATCAAGTGGAGCAGGGAGTGTAGTGGATAGTAGCAGGGGCACATTGGCGCTCCTGGATGCTACACCGATGACTCTAAAGCTTTGGGTTTGGATTCTCCTTTGACAAGTTTATCTTCTTCCCTTTCAACCCAGTTACCTCTAATTATTAATTTTTAAAAAATCTAATTGCCGTGTCTCTTAGAACTGGGTGATAAAATTATATAAATCTATATATTAAAGTATATAGTCATCACATGGAAATACATGTTTTGTTGTCAGTTTGTAGCTGAAACAACATTTAACTCTAGCTGAAGTCATGATGTCCTGTAAACACAGTTTTTCTATGTTTCATGTCACCAACTCTTTACATATGTTTTCCTTGAATCTCCATAGTAATGACAGAATTCCTGAATTCAAAGTTTATACCAAGTTTAATCCTTAAATGGCCTCTAATATTTGTTTTTCCTACTTTTAGAATTGAAAGAAAAAGTAAGATTTTTCTATACTTCCAGAGTTTCTGATTCTTTTACAGTACTTTTCTAATATGTTTGAAGAAAGTAAAAGGGAAAATCATTTGCATGTCAAGGACATGATTACCAATACTGTAAACATGAAAAGGCTATTTTTATACTTTAAATCTCAACATGAATTAATACATTTAGGGGATATCAACACCCTCATTTGTACTATTGCATATTATTTCAAGAATGAAATCCTTCGCCTTTTGGAATAAACATTACATTTAAATTTTCCTGTGGCCTTAGTTTAGATCTGAGTTAACCTCATATATCAAATGATTTTGTATCTCAACCTATACATGTCACATCATAAATTACACAAGGAAGGGGATAATTTTGTACTTGGGATCAAATCATGACAGGAGTTCCCAATTTTGTTATGTATATACAGAAACACTCATACACACCTCTATGAGCATTGCTTTCTCCCAGTCTAAATAATTTCTCTTCCAGTGCTTATAATGGGGGGAGGGGGAGGAATAGGGACTTAAAACACACATATAGAGAAGGGAAGATACAGATGTTGCTCCATGCTGCTTGCCAGTGCCATGTATAAAATATCTTAGATCCTCTGCTATCAATTTACTCCAAGGCAGAGTTTAGGATAGTTCTATGAAGAGTTGGAGGAAGTTTGTGCAACTAGATTGGGTACTGCCAGTAAAGACTTACATAATAATAATTTAAGATGTCAGGTTACTTACTGTTTTTATCCAACCCTAAAAATCCGCTTTTGAAATTCTTTTAAGCTATTTATGCTCCTATGAGGGTTACTAAAACAGGACAGAAGCAGATGACTGCCAATTTTAAAACTGCATTTTCCTTTTCCATTTGTATGATAAATCCATGACCATTTAAACAATAAAAGAATTAATAATTCCATTTGAAGAATACTAAAGACCATAGATTAGAAATAGCTGGCTCTTGATACCTGGCTCCAAAGGGTAGAGGGTCATGTACATTCTCAGCTTTGTTGCAAGACAGATGAGACTGGAACACTCAGTCTCATCTATGTGCATAAAAAAGACAAGAATGAAAGAAAATTAGACCATCTGGACCTTCCTTCCAACTGGGCAGTCCTTGAAAATTTATAAGCCAGTGTGACAACAATGGCCAGTATTATCCTTGACATTTGGCAGACAGTCCTGAGCCTGAATTTGAGCACTGATATTTTAGATTGTTACCATGCTAATTACTTTTAGCCATTTTGCAATTTGTATCATTCAAATACAGTAAGTTCCATGTGAATGAAGATCTCAGCTGATTATTCAACTCTTTAAGTGCCTTTTGTATTTTGTACATTATTTTTGTCTAGCAATAAAACCTGTATATAGATCTTCTGCTACAATACTTGGGCATCTTCTGTGCTTGGTATGACATCAGTAATTTAAAATAATAATGTGTCCCTAAAGGAGTGAGATTTCAGAGGATTACAATGAACACTAATTTACTCAGAAGTCTCCTTTTTTTTTTTTTTTTGGCCAATGAACACATATGGACCTTTGAGAGTGAGAGTTATGTCTGGCATTGGGGGGGCCTGGCCCATCCCCAAAATGGCTCCATTGGGGGAAGGAAAGCCCCAGACAAAAAAGACAGGTGTTGCAAGGAGCACCTAGGGGGTGCTTGGGCCCACAGACTTATTGGGAACCCTAATATTACCAGATTAGAACTACATTCTTTACTTTAAATAGCTTGCTAAAATATCAAGCACTAAGAGAAAAGAGCTT